TTTTTTTTACTTGACTTAAGCTGAAATAAATCTAATTGTCTCATTTGTTGTCTGTTTTACCTGAAGGAACGCTGTTGCGGTCACATATCCCATCCTTCAGTAATTTATCCCGAACCTCCCAGCTAAACATACCCGGGTTTTCCCGCTTGTACTCCTCTATCCTCCTCTCGACGTCCGGCGACGTCCCCTGCTTCAGAAACAGCACAAACCAGGGGTCAGTCTCTGGGCCCCAACAGGTGAGATGCACGTGCGGGAGCAGCTCGTGCATGCGGGTACCTTGGGTTTGCTGCCTCCGATGGCCCCGGGTCTGATGGAGCCCGTCTCCTGGTACCGACACAGGATCTTGGACACGCAGCCGTGGGAGACCCGGAGCTGCCGGGAGATGACGCACGGCCGGATCCCGTGGTGGGCCATCTCCACGATCTTGTGTCGGATGTGGTTGGGCAAAGGTCTGCCGTTGATGAAGACCCCCCCGAGCTGGTTGACCCGGCCCTGGCCCAGCGGGGTGGACACTGTTCGGCCCAAAGACATGAAGAGAAACGGCTCAACGCACGGCCAAATTATTCTAGTGACAATGAGTTAAAAACAGTACGTTTATTAATGATGTAAATATGTACTAAACTGGATGTAAACATTTAATGTTGCGTTAATAAACAAAGATGGCGCAGCTGATAGAACTGCCATAATAAAACTGTAAAAACAACCCTAAATATTGGGTAAAAATAATATTAGGCCTATTATATTAAAAAAAAAAAAAAAGGAGTTTATTTTAATATTTGTCAAATTGGTCATTAGTTTCAGAGCTTGGGTTTGGGGTAAGAGAAGAGACCCAGACCTCTCCCGTCCTTCGCTCGGAGGTTTACCTTCCAGGGGGAAGCCGCTGTGGGGGTAGTTCTGAGCCAGCGTGGGTCGCATCATCCTGGGCACTGACCCAGCCAGCGCAGTCATACCTCCACCACCCCACCGAGCTGTGAAAACCTCCTCCTTCTTCCGCGGAGAAGCTGCTGGACTCGTAGCAGGAGGGAAAATGTCGCTAAGTGTCCTCGTGAGAAGCTAGCTTCGGTTGGGGTTAGCTGCAGCCGAGCGCCGGTGTCCCGGGACGGCCACAACTCTTTCAGGAGCCAAATTAGCTCTCGAAAATTGTAGTGATGTGATTTTAAAAGCAGTCGTTTTTCTGCGCCTTTGTTTTAACGCTTTTAGGAGACGCGGCAAACGAAGGAGGAGACGCCGAGTTAAAGACCGCTGTTGTTGTTTGTTGACACCGGCTCCGAGTGAGAGGCGACGGAGAAAAGTAGCGGAGATCCTCTCTGCCCCCCCTCTCAGCGCTCCCGGCTCTGATTGGTCGAACGGATGCGCACGAGGTGTGAGGGGACGTGATGATTGGTGGAGGTCTAAAACTTTTAACCAATCAGAAACGAGCCTTGAGCTCGGCTCGGACAGAGCACAGCGTCTGTGCACGAGCCACAGATGTTCGTGGCCGCACAGTGAAACACCAAAACACTTAAAAGACCGTTTAATCAACACTGCTGCACGGAAACAGCGACAAAACACGAATAAAACAAAATTATTTATGTAATATGAAATATATTGTAGACTGATCGATGATTAAATCACGTTTTATGGTTATTTTATATTATATTATAGAACACTGGTCCCAAGTTTTCCCTTAATTGAATGAGGATTGCTCATCTGTTTGTTTCTATTTTTTCCCTCCATCTTTATTAAAATAATACATAAAAAAACTGACATAATTGACTCGGTTGTTCACAACAGAAAACACTGTCATACAAACATTCTTCACATATAAATATATATATTTTTAACTTTTACTTATTAAATTGTTTGTTTTTCCACATATATTGTGATGTATGATATGTATTAATAAAATACTAAAAATCCTTTGGTTAATTGTATTAAACAAACTAAAAACATTGTATTAAACTGTTATGTTTAACCTTAACTCCAAGCCACATATTGTCAGACTGAAATAAATTGTTGGGTTTGTTTCATTTAGATCATGTTTGGTTTAGCAACTTTTTGCGCTTCGTGCCTGCTCTGCTGCCAACCTGTGCGTAATGTCATCCCCTAACGCGTGCATGCCCACGACCTCTAATTTGTTCCCCCCCGCGGCCTCACATGTCACACAAATGGTGATTCAAAGAGGAATTTATTGAGGTTTTCAGCGGCCGAGAGCTCATGCGCCACAGCGGGACACGACGCCAAGGTGGCCGTCAAGCTGCGACACCCCCGAAATGTCCAATAACTAATATTGCCCCAACCCCTGGAGTGAGTCTGTTTAAAGCTCAGCTCGTGCTGTGGGTCACAGTGAGTTAAAGGTTCAGGACAGAAAGGCTGGTTTCATCTCATCTGTCAGCCGTTTTTAAAAGGAGCAACATGCATGTTCTCCTTTACAAGAGTCATAACTTGGACACAAACTTTTGTTTCTTGACTAGACTAAATTATATATATATATATATATATATAGAAACCAACGGTGAGGTGCGTAAATACATACATATATATAT